ATACTGAAATTCCAAGATTATCACTTTCCCCATAGCTAACCCTAAAACTAATTAAATGTCCTCACTCTAACAAGAAACAATAATCCTAACCCCAAACTTTCAACCTAACCCCTTAACATTAACCCCCTAATGTTATCCTTAATCCAAACCAGAATAACAATAAACTGTAATTCAAGTGCTAATTCTAATCTTCATTCGCAAAACATAAAACTCAGGACTTGAAATCTAATCATATCTTGAACCCTATCTGTAACCTTACCATAACCATAACCCTAAACTCTAAACCTAAAACTCTCCTTAACCCTAAACCCTCAACTTAACACTAAACATACCCTAACCCTAAAACTAGCCCAAACATAACCCTGACTCCAACTGTCACCCTAAAACCTAAACCTAACCCTAACACTCTTAACTGTAAACCTAACCCTAACCCTAACACACTCAATCATAACTACACTGCAATGCTCAGGTACTTGAAATAAGACACTATTCCTCACCCTCATAAACATACTGGCCCTAAGCTTCACATTCACACTGCAAATATCAGGTACTTCAATTAAATCTGTATTTCTAATGCCAAATCTAACGCCACCCCTAACCCTGACCCTAAACACTAACCCTAATCAAGACACTAACCCATAAGTCATAACTCTAATGCTAACCCTAAAACCTAATCCAAATACTAACCTGAACACTAACCTTAAAGCCTTAATCTAACCCTAACAAAACATAAACCCAACCCAAACTACAACCCTGAACCTAAAGCTAACAATAACCCAGATACCTATATTCTGACACCATTCCTAAACCTATTCCTAAAATTAACACTAACACTAACCATCAAAACCATAGTCCAGTACACAGGCAGTGAAATCACAATATGATTCCTAACCCAAAGCCTAACCCAAGCCTTAATGCTAACCCTAACAGTACCCATCATATCTGCACTGCAATGCTCAGATACTTGGAATCCCACACTATATCTCACCCTCATAAAAATCCTGGCCCTAAGCATCATGCTCACATTCCAATTATAAGATACTTCAATTCTATGCATATCTTTATCCCCAAACCTAACCCTAACTCTAAACCAAACCATTAATCCCACAAGCTAATACAGAGATACTTGAAATACTACACTATTACTAACCCTAACAGCAAATCTAATCGTGACACCAACTATAAAACATACACTGCAATACACAGCTAGTAAAATTTCCAGACTATGACTTAATCCATCCTTAACCCTAACCCTAAACCTACCCCTAACCCTAACCTAGATACCTGCAATCACACACCATTGCTAACCCTAATCCTACATTTAAAACTAACACTAACCATTAAACCCACAATTCATTACACTGGTAGTGAAATTCTGAAACTATTCCTAACCCTAGGCCTAAGCCTATCCCTAAAACTAACCCTAAAACCAACACTACCAATTATAGCTAAGCTGCAATTCTAAGGTACTTGGAATCACACACTATGCCTCACTCTCATAAAAACCCTTGCTCTAAATGTCATTCTCACACTCGAATTATAAGGTACTTGAATCCATCCATATCCCTGTCACCAAAACTAACCCTAACCCTAAACATTATTACCAAGGTTGAATATAGCGGCACTTGAAAACCTACATTATTCCTAGCCCTAAGGCCAAATCTAATGTTGATCCTATGAAGCCCAGACTTCAATACACAAGTACTGAAATTCCAAGACTATCACTGACCGCAACTCTAACCTTAACCCTTACCCTATCAGAGCCCTAACCCTGGTACTTACATTCTTAAATCATGCCTAACACTCATCCTAAAATTAACATGACCACTAATCATCAAACCCTCAATCCAGTACACAGGTAGTGAAATACCAAAAATATCCCATACCCTAAGCTTAACATTAACCCAAACATAACCCATCATATCTACATGGCAAAGCTCAGATACTTGGAATCTGACACTACTCATAATCCTCATAAACATACTTGCCCTAACCTTCACACTCACACTGCATTCAGGTACTTGAATTCCATCCATATTCCTAATGCCAAACCTAACCTTAACCCTATCCCAAACCCTAAAACCTAAGACTAACCTAAGCCCCTAAACCCAGACCATAACAATCTGAACCCCTAAACCTAACACTTAAGCCTAACACTAACCCTAACCATAAAGCCTAAATCCTAACCATAAACTGAACTCAATCCCAACCACAACCCGAACCTGAACACTAACACTCACCTTAACCCAAATACCTGCATTCTGACAACATTTCTAAATCTAATCCTAAAATTAACACTAACACTAACCATCAAACCCACACTCCACTACACAGGTAGTGAAATTCCAAAAATATTCCATACCCTAGTCTTAACCTTCACCCTAACACAACCCATATTAGCTACACTGCAATGCTCAGGCACATTGGAATCCAACACTATTCCTCAACATCATAAAACTCCTTCCCCTAAACTTTATTCTCACACTCGAATCCTCAGGCATCCATAGTCCATCTATATCCCTATAAACAAACCTGAGCCTAAACATTATTCCTGAGGTTGAATACATCAGAACTTGAAATCCTAAACTCTTCTCAACCATAAACCCAAATATAATGATAATAATAATGGTGAATCCTACACTACACTACACAGGTACTGAAATTCCAAGACGGTCACTTATCACAACCCTAACACTAATCCTAACCCTACCACCAACCCTAACACAGGTGCTAGCATTCCTAAACCGTTTCCTACCCATAATACTTAGAGTGAACACTAGCTGTGAAAACCACACTCCAGTCAGTATAAAGTTAGTGAAATTCCAAAAATATTCCATACCCTAGGCCTAATCTTAATCCTACATATCTACACTGTAATGCTCAGGTACTTGGAATCCTACACTATTCCTCACCCTCATAAACATACTTAAGCTAACACTCACAATCACACTGCAATTATCAGGTACTTGAATTCAATCCATATTCCTAATGGAAAACCTAACCCTGACACTAACACTAATCCTAAAATGCTAACCCTAACCCCTAAGTCCTAACTCTAACCCTAACCCTATCCCTAACAACTAACCAAAACTCTAACACTAACCCTAAAGTCTTAACCATAACCTTAACCCAAACAAATCCCAACCCCAACCCCAATTGTAAACCCAATCAATCCAAACCCTAATACAGGTACCTGCATTCTGACACCATTCCTAAACCTAAACATGAAATTAACACTAAAACTAACCATCAAACCCACACTTCAGTATACTGCTACTGAAATTCTAACACGATTCCTAACCCTAAGCCTAACAAAAGCCCTTACGCTAACCCTAACAGTACCAATAAGGGTTACACAGCAATGTTCGGGTACTTGGAATCCAACACTCTATTTCACCCTCACAAAAAATCCTTGCCCTAAGCATCATACTCACACTCCAAATATAAGGTACTTCAATTCAATCCATATCCTTATCCCCAAAACTAACCCTAACACTAAACCAAACCATTAATCCCACGATCCAATACTGAGACCCTTGAAATATTACACTATTCCTGAACCTAACACAAAATCTAATCATGATCCTAAATATGAAACACTGCAATGTGCAGCTAGTTAAATTCAAGACTGTGACTAGACCCAAACTTAACCCTAACCCTAAACCTACCCCTAACCCTAACCTAGGTACCTGCAATCCCACACCATTCCTAACATTATTAGTAAGTTTAATGCTAACACTAACCAATAAACCCACACTCACTGCTGTGAAATTCTGACACTATTCCTAACCCGCAGCCTAAGCCTAACCCTAAAATAACACCAAAGCTAACACTACCCACCACAGCTATTCTGCAATGCTCAAGTACTGGGAATCCCACACTATACCTCACCCTCATAAAAATCCTTCAGCTAAACTTCATTTTCACAGTCAAATTATCAGATACTTGAATTTGATCCATTTCCCTCTCACTAAAACTAACCCTAACCCTAACCCTAAACATTATTCCCAAATTCCAGTGCAATGGCACTTGAAATCCTACACTATTCCTAGCCGTAAGGCCAAATCTAACGCTGATACTATGAAACCCACACTCCAATACACAGGTGCTGAAATTCCAAGACAATCAGTGACCCCAACCACAATCCTAACCCTACCACAAGCCCTAACCCAGGAACTTACATTCCTAAACCTAATCCTAAAGTTGACACTGACACTAACCATCAAACCCATACTCCAGTACACAGGTAGTGAAATTCTGAATCTATTACTAAACCTAAAACTAATCCTAACCCTAACCTCAGCCCAAACACCATCAAATCTACACTGAAATGCTTAGAAACTTGGAATCCAAGACTATACCTCACCCTCATAAAAACCCTTGCCCTAAACTTCATTCTCACACTCCAATTCTTTGGTGGAATTCTATCCATGTCCTTATCTTTAAACAAAACCCTAACACTACCTTTGATAGCTATACGACAATGCTCAGATACTTGGAATCCAACCTCACCCTCATAAAAATCCTTGCCCTAACCTTCATATTCACACTCCATTTATCAGGTACTTCAATTCCATCCAATTCCCTAATCCCAAAGCTAACAAACAACCCTATACCAAATGATTATTCCCACTATCCAATACTTAGGTACTTGAAATCCTACACTATTCCTAATCCTAGCCCAAAATCTAATGCTAATACTAAGAAACCGACATTCCAATACACACGTACTTATACTGAAAGGCTTTTGCAAACCCTAACCCTCACCCTAACACTACCTGCAGTACCCTCCAGAGCGACTCGGTTGCTCATTACTCAAGGCTCACAGGACACCCTACCCAGCCTATTCCACTGCTCCGGCAGCCAATACTCCAGCCCTCCTTCCCGGGGCTGAAAAAGCACATAGCAAGGGTAACCTAGGAGCCCAACCCACCAAGGAAGAGAGACAAGATGATTGGTGACATCACAGGAAGAATTCTCAGCATGGCAAGAACGGAGGGCGGGGGGCGGGGGGAAATCCAGGACTACAGTACCCAGAATCCTCAGCATGATTTTTTTTTTCCCCTCCCCACCCTCTCCCCCACTCCCTGGACTACCTTACTTGGAAACCCACGGGGCTGCGTACCCAGACTCCACGGAGTAATTTCCCGCAGATATCATAAACAGAATTCTACGGCAGCTACAGAACTAAGATATCCACAATCTTCTGCGGGATTTTTCTCCTGGACTAACATAGAATCCTTTGAGGGATAGCAGGACTACATGTTCGAACCATCAATTTTTCCAACTGGACTACCATACCCAGAATCCACCACCGTTCCACAGGACTACTTACCCAGAATCCTCAGAGTAATTTTTCCATGGACTACGATACCCAGAATCCTCCACGAGGCGGTAAGACTACTTACTGAGACTCCTCAGCTTGATTTCCTCCTGGACTTCTATACCCGAAATCCTTCCTGGGGCCATATTTTTCCAGACCTTCCAGGACTAACATAATTTTCCCTTAGACTATCATGACCAGAATTCTTCCACGACCACAGGACTACAATACCCAGAATCCATGGAGTAAGGGCACTACCATACCCGGAATCCACCAGGTAGACGTAGACCTTCAATACCCAAAATCTCAGCGATTATCCAGAATCCTTCGGATGCTTGCCTTGGAGACCACAATACCGAGAATTTACAGCGTGCTACTCTAATAACTATAGTACCTTAAATTTTGGGCTTGTTTCCCCAAAGATTACGGTATGCTGAAGACTATGTCACAATCCTGTCAAAAGCCACAAAGTACAGAAACCTCAACAGGGCCACAGACTGCAATACTCAGAATCCCTTGCAAGTTACCTGAGCAATGTCTACCACACCTAGAATTCTCAGCGTTCTTACCTAATAACTACAATATCCCCCAAAGCCTCCCTGTGACAACCTATAATGTTTAGAATCCCAGATATGTTCCCAGTGCAGTACCAGTGACTACATTACCCAGAGTCTTTGCTGTGCCCACCCTGGAAGACTACTACACTCAAGATTTCACAGCAGCGTCTTAGACTCTGGTACCTGAAGTCTTCGATGTGTTTTACCAAGGACTATGGTGACTAGGATCCTTTGGGTTCCCTCCTCCCCCAGACCAGAGCTATGATACCCAAAATCTTCCTCGTGCTCCCCAAGGGCTGTGATAGGCAGAGTCTTTCTGGACCTGAAACGCAGAATCCTCCAGGTGTCTGTGGAATGCCCCCACCCCCGACCTGAACACAGGTTGTTCCAACCATTTACGGGACCGATCCTCTCTCAGGTCTGCTAGGGATTTGAAGTCCCTTGGTCCTGGAAGACTCCTCCTTCAGGTCTTCGCTTCTTGATTTCAGCTCCTAAAATCCTAGCCTGGATAAAATAGAAATATTTGCCAATTCTGTGACGCAGGTATTTTTTCTAGTGTGCCTCTGGACATTGCTCTTACTGTTTTTCCCATACAAAATTTAATTTTTAGTTCATTCTATGTGTCTAATTTTTAAATTCTGCATTTTGAGTCATACTTGAGAAGATATTTCCTGCATGCATTTTTTCTAGAGATTTTGTGACTTTGTTTTTTAACATTTGGAGTTTTCAGTGCTTTGATTTTTTTTGACAAGTTATATAACAGTAGTAAGAATCCAGTTTTAACTTTTTCCTGATTTATATCGACTTCCCAAACCAATTTCTCTAAAAATAGTATTTATGATTTTGCTCACTGCTTTAAATGCGATGTAATAAAGTATACAAAGCACCATATTTCATTTATATTTGCATATGTGTCAATTTCTACAGTTTTTCTTTTTATATTATCTAATTGTTCACCACCAACACTATCATAATCTCTTAATTATGGAAGGCATATAATTTGCTAAGGGTTAGCTATAGCATTTTAACATTATTTTTAGTATTTCACTAGTTATATCTGCTGTTTTTTTAGTGAAATGCTATGGTTTTAATTTCCACGTCAAAACTAATATTGGAAATATGTGAAATAGTAAATATAAATATTAAATAGGTAAATTAAATATTAAATAAGATTCATCCAGTCATAGATCAATGGCTTAATAGCTCGTGAGGAGAGTGGGTCGCTTTAGAAAGCCAGTTTGGCTTAGTCTTTGCATGCACCTCTATCTTCTCTGCTCCACCTCAGGACTCTGCAGGGCCCCCATTACCAACAGGGCCTTCAGGGGCTCTTTGTGCACTTCCAGAACCCTGGCCTGAACAAACCTTTAGTCATTACAAATTTCCAGTCTGTAGTATTCAGTAGTAGGAAAAGAAAACAAAGTAAGATAGGAATTACCATCTCTGCCTCCAGAGCAAAATTAAGTATTGATATTTTTTGCTAGAACCATACTGAAATTATACATTTGAGGGAAATGACATTAAGATAGTTTTATTCTTTTATATGCAAGGACATTTCATATTTTTTCATTTGGTTGAATTTTCTATATGTGATGAATGAAGAAGAAAGTATCCTTAGAAGGATTTCTGCGAGGGCTGGGGATTTGGCTCAGTGGTTCTGCCACCTGCCTTGCAAGGACCGAGTTCAATTCCCTATACCAAAAAAAAAAGGATTTCAGCACTAGTTCTATATAAAGAGTAGAGGTTTAATCCCACAATGTCAAATCCCTGAAAATACTATTTAAGAATATGATCACCTGGATGTCTCTCTATGATTGAGTCTTTATAGAATTAATGTTATGGCTTGTGTCTGGATGCCCCCCCCAAAAAAAACTCAGGCAGTCATAGGTGGGCCTTTTCAGAAGTGGCTGGATGTAGAGTGTGTGACACTGGGATTGGTTCATGGTGCAATGCCAGGATCAAGGGCACTAGGATTAAGCGTGTGAGTGCTGCCCACCCTAGGTAGCCTGGATAAGATATAAGGGGTGGAAAGAGCTGTGGTTGACCCTTGTTGCTTTGCTACCTTCTGCCCACCATGAATTGTTTCTTCTTTGCATTTTGACCCTGCCTTGGAGCCAGTCAATTATGGATTAAAACCTCTAAAAAAAACTGTGAGCTGAATAAAACTATTCCCCTTTTAACTTTGGGTGTTGGATATTTTGTCCCAGAAATGAGAGAAAAGTAACTAAGACCATTAATATGCAAATAAGAACTGGTAGGTTTTTTTTTAATTTTCTGTCTTACCTAGAATATGGCACATGGGGCTGGAGATTTAGCTCAGCGGTTCAGTGGCCTACCTTGCAAGTGCAAGGACCCAAGTTCAATCCCCGGTACCAAAATATATATATATATATATATAGTGAAGCTGCATACATAAATACTGAATGAAATTACTGAAAAGAAAGCAGTTCAGTCCAGTATTGAAAGAAAATAAAAGATCACAAAATACAATCTTGACTGTGATCCCCTTATTAACAAATGTATAATATATAGATATAAGTGTAACACACATATACAAATGTAGCACACACAAAAAAGTATAAATTTCAATACCACAATATGTCAGTGGTGCTTAGAGTGGGACATGTTTTTATCATCTGTAGTTTCTGAGATTTATTATGCATACATATAAATAGAACTTCTGAAGTGCTATGATTATGTTTAGACAGGAAAAGTCTGATAAACCATCACACATAAACACACATGCTTATATATTGTGTGCATAGTCCTAGTGAGACACTTGAAATTGCATGCATCAACACTCATTATCTGCCTTTTTTGGCAAACTCTAAGCTCCTTAATATGAGGAACAGGGTCCTTTTGGATACTCAGGCTCTAAAGGAAAAGGCTGAATTTCATGTGTGTATATTACTATTAGCCCCACTTTATAGAAGAGAATTTGAAGCTTACAGATATTAAGTTACCCAGTTAATTGATAGAACCCAAATTCAAGGCTACCTGTTTCTGTCCTCCAACTGATGATAGTGCTAAGTGTTGAGATCTTTTAAATGAAAGAAAGATAAGAAGTGGGGGAAAAATTTAAAGCTGGGAAATGTTTAAAGTTAAAATATAAAGCTAATAAATATAAATTATACATTAATTAAATTATGTACATAAAATATATACTACATGAGCAAAAATATTCTCATGCAGACATATTCAGGTGGCATCTGAATTACTATCAAGAAAGTTTTAGGGGTCCACACCTCTGATGCACAGTGCCAGCTTTGGGCCAGTCTGGAGAAGCAGGGCCTAGGGTCCGGGGATAGAGTCAGTGACCTTTAAGGATGCAGTTGTGAACTTCACCCAGGAGTGGGCTTTGCGGAAGCCTTCCCAGAAGAATCTCTACAGAGCTGTGATGCAGAAGACCTTCTGGAACTTGGCTTCTGCCAAAAATGGCAATACCAGACCAATAAAGATGTGTACAAAAATCTCAACAGAAATCTGAGAGGTCAAGTGCTGAAAAAATTATTTAAACATAAAGAATATAGGCAACATGAAGAAATGTTCAGCAGGATTTCAGATCATAGAATGAAGAAGAAAACTTCTAGGGTGAAATGACCTAAAATCCACCTATGTAGAAAAGTGGTCAGTAGTCTTTTTTTCTGAGAGACATAATAATTAACCATGGACACAGGCTATCTGAGTATCAGGACTGTACAGAGAGGCCCCGAATATAAAAAAAGTGATAAAGCTTTTAAGGGGCTCTGTGACCTTTGAAATCATGCAAGGACTCACACTGGAGAGAAACTTTACACATGTGTAAAATGTGGGAAAACCTTTGCTTGTTCCACCTACTATCAAAGACATACACAGATTCACACTGGAGAAAACCCCTATATATGCCAGCAATGTGGGAAATCCTGGTGTTCCAGTTTCCTTGAAATACATGAAAGAACCCACACTGGAGATGAATCTTTTATATGTAAGCATTGTGCAAAACCCTTCACTTGTGCCAGTACTCTTCGAATACATGAAAGAAACCATGGTGGAAAGAAACCTTATGTGTGTGCACTATGTGGGAAAGCTTTCCGAGAGTATGTCAAAATGCTGAGGCATGGAAAAACTCATAGTGAGGACCAACACTGTGCATGTGAGGAACGTGGAAGAGTCTTCAGGAGCTATGGTTACTTGAAAAAGTATGTAAGGATTCATGCTCATGAGAAACCCTAAATAAAGAATATGGAAGGCCTCTTTATCCCCCAACCACTATACATGGTTACAGCACACCCAAGAATTCCTAAAGGAGGGCCTCCTGTCAAGGTAGATTGCAAAAAAGCCTCTAGCACCTGGGTTCCACTCACGTGGTTGAAAGAACACAATACTGAGAAAAACATCATTAGTAGAAGATATATAAAAAACTCTTTAGTTGTCCCTCATGTAAGCATGTACACTGGATCAAAACCATGTGAATGAGAAAAATACAAGATATTGAATGTAATAGTTTCAGTGTCCTGAAAAAACTCCTGTCTTGAAAGCCTATGAATGTAAGTAATATAAAGGCCATAACGCCATACCTTATCTAAAGAAAATCTAAAATGTATGTTATTATTGTGTCCATCATTGGCTCTCTTTTTTAGGGTAGATGGTGTTTGATTGAGTCAAATAATAAAACTGTAATTATTCTACTGTCAAACAAATAAAGTTTTAGGAGATGTTGGGGAGATGCTTTTAAGGTGATATCAGGGCCTACCCAACTTGAATCTCATATAGTATTTTATATGACCAGTGTTCTGATGAAGGGCCCAATTGATGTTTTAGGAACAGAATCTTGTTTCTTTCTTTTGACATTATCTTTCATTTGGCAGCAACGCATTCCAGGGGTACGTGAGGGAAATAGCAATCAGAGGAGGTTTACCAATGGTAGAAGAAGAAAT